CTCCATGGGAGAAAGATTAAGCTTTCTGTTCCTGCGAAGATTTAAAGCCTCAGAAACCCTATACAGGGTCGCTATGGGTCGGAACCGACTCGATGGCACATAACAACAACAACAACAACATTATTTCTCTCTGGTTTGTCCTCGTTCCCACTTGCTCCCTTAGCTTTCACAAGCTTATTTAATTCAAAGCTCCAAATTCAGATACCATACCAGCAAGACATGTAACCGAAATGTGTGAGGTGGGTTGAGGTTGAGTCACTAGGGTCTGTGGTAAATGAAGAGAGAGTAAGTACCCTGCTCAAGGGAGCAGTCGCTATGGAGCAGCTCTGTGTTGCCATGCAGGAATGTTGCTAAACTGTTTGTCTTGTTTTTCTATGAGAAGATAAAAATCTGAATTTTATGTGAAATATCCTGATTTTTAAATGTTGGGGAAGGATTACATTTGTATTTCTGAAAACACACACACACAAAATAGTGGCTTCTGCGGGGACCTGTTAGGTCAGTTAAAGTCATTGCAGCAAAGGCAACTTAGAAGTTCATGGCAAATGTGTTTTGTGATTCCAAAGGGATGATTTTGATAGATTTTCTCATAGGACACAAGATGATCATGGGGATTTATTAGGAAGAAGTTTTAAGAAATTTGACAGCTGTACTGATTAGAAAAAGGCCAGGCAGTTGCACCCACTAATTGCACACACACTCCCATTCAATGTACTTGTTCATTCTTGGAGGGTAACAAGAACTGTCCTGTGAGAATTTTATTGTGAAAGTTTACCCCCTTCCACTCTACAGCACTAATCTTGCCCCTTCAGACTTCTCTATTCCCAAACAGAACGTTCAAAAGGAACACAATTTGAGTTCCTTTAGCACGCAAACTACCATTTTGACATGGCATAAACCGAAGAGCTCAAAATTCTTCAGAGAAGTGTTTTTGTTGTTGTTAGGTGTCATCAAGCTGGTACAAACAACAAAATGAAACACTGCCTGGTCTTGCACCACCCTTACAATTGTTATGACTTTGTAACGATGCGTTTTTTTTACTTACTCTCATATATATATATATATATCTCTATATATATATATATATATATATATATATATATATAGAGAGAGAGAGAGAGAGAGAGAGAGAGAGAGAGAGAGAGAGAGAGAGAGAGAGAGAGTCCTGGTGTGGCGCTGTGGGTTAATGTGCCAGACTGCAAAGACGTTTAAACTGCAAGGTCGGCGGTTCAAGCAACAATATATATATATATATTCAAGTATGTGACTGTACTCACACATATTCATATATATAATAAGGCATGTAGGGACACAGTTCTGAATATTTCTTAGACATAACCAAATACCCTGCCGATTAGCTTCCTGGTTTTGAAGGATTAGGACCACATGCTCCTGGGGCATCTGAGTCAATTGTCATAATATAGTTGATAACATTTATGATATAAATCCTAGTTTGGTGAGTCATGTCTGAAGTCTTAAAAGTTTGCAAGACACAATCTAAGATGCAATTATTGGTCTCTACTCATCTGGAGCAAAAGAGAAATAAGGAAAGCAAAGTCTCAAAGAGTCTGTAGACCTCAGAGTTTACATGAACCACAGCCTCTTCTACCCTGAGACCAGAAGAACTCGATGGTTCCTGGCTACCACCACCAATAGTGCTGATCAGGACCACAGTAGATAAACCCTTAAAGAATGAGAGGAAAATATGGAACTGAACCTCAAATTCTTAAAACAGACTTTATTGGACCAGATGAGACTATCGCCTTGAGATACTCTTTAAACCTTGAACTGAAACGAGACCCTGAAGTCTCTTTTTAGTTAAATAGCAGATTGATTCACAAGATAAGGCATCCATGAGTACTGCGCTCCTTTAAAAAAATCATATTTATGATGCTAAACTGTCAGCAAGTACTTTAAAATAAAGGTGAGACTGTAAGTGGGCAGGGAAACTAGATTAATGGGACTAGAACAACCAGAATGGAAAATTGAGTATGTTCACATATTGTAACGAATATAACAATTGCTACTGAACAATATGCTTATAAACTGCTGAATGGGAACCTAAGTTGCTGTGTAAACAAACCTTCAAAGAAAACACAATGAAATCTTATTAAAATAAATAAATAAAAAGGAAAGTTCAGGCCAGGAGCAATGGGCTGAGACTCTTCCTGGGAGAGTCCTCTCCTTAGTGTGTCATCAAGGATGCCTTGCCTTCATTCTGAACTCAGAGACTTATACATCAAATTAAGATCTTATATATATTAAATCACTGTGGGTTAATGCACTGGACTGAAAAGTTGTTTTGAACTTTAAGGTCGTTGGTTCAAGGTCACCAGCTACTCCTCAGAACCATACACAGGTTCACTACTCGGTCAGTACCAACTCAACAGCACTTAACAACAACAATATATTAAGTCATGGAGCCCTGGTAGTACAGTGGATTAAGTGCTGCTAGCTGCACAGTTGGTGGTTCAAACCCACTAACCACTCCAATGGAGAAAGATGAGTCTGTCTGTTGCTATAAAGACTTACAATCTCAGAAATCCTGTGGAGCTGTTCTGCCATCCTATAGGGTCACGATGAGTCAGAATGCACTCAACTGCAGCAAGCTTTGTTTTGTTTTAGTTTTTATATTAAGTTCACCACACATCCAGCAGTGTGCTGTACTGTGGTGACTTGCATGTTGCTATCATGTTGGAAGCTATGTCACTACTCTTTCAAGTTCCAACAGGGTCACCCATGGTGGACAGGTAGGGTTTCCAGACTAAGACAGACTAGGAAGAAAAGCCTGGCTATCTACTTCTGAAAATTCACCAGAGAAAACACTGGATTACAGAATCACTTACTTTGTGGACTTTGTGGACTCGCGTATTTTGGAGGCCTCATCAGGAGAGAAATCATGTTTGGTAAATGAGAGCCCTCAATGACATGGACTGACACAGTGGATTCAAGCATCCCAGTGGTCATGTAGATAGCACTGGACAGGGCAGTGCTTCTCTTTGCTTTATTGTACGTGGGCTCACCTTGAGTCAGGGATGACTCCATGGCAACTAGCAGCAACAGGAGCCCTGGGGGGTTGTGAGTTGGGCTGCTAGCTGCAAGGTCAGCAGTTCAAATCTACCAGCCACTCCATGGGAGAAAGATTAAGCTTTCTGTTCCTGTAAAGACTGGATTCCTGCTGTGGCGCTGTAGGATAAGCACTGAACTACAAGGTTCAGCTGTTCAAACCCACCAGCTGCTCCTTGGAAACCCTATATACTGTCTGACTACACTTAGCAACAACATGTTAACTCATGTAGTCCTCATAGTAGGCTATAGGGTAGGTATTATCATTTCATTGCTTTACAGATTAGGACATTGAGGCCCAAGGGGATGAAATGTTGTTGTTGTTGTTGTTGTTAGGTGCCATCAAGTCAGCACCTTATGCACAGCAGAACGAAACAATGTCTGATCCTGGGCCAACCTCACTGCTGTTACCACACTTGAGTCCATTGATGCTGCCACCTGGCCAATCCATCTCGTTGGGGGTCTTTCTCTCTTTTTCTCTGACCCTCCACCTTACCAAACATGATATCCTTCTCCAGTGACTGTTCCCTCCTGACAATATGTCCAAAGTCACACAGCTAGTGAGTGGCGGCTGCCTCCAATGCTTGTCACCTTCTTCATCTTAGAGCGCATTCTAAGAGCTCCTGGAGACTGTCCCAGGCCACAAACCTCACTTGGACTCACAGCAGGATTATGGGAGAACTGGGGGCCCTGGTGCACTGGGGTACACCTCCTACAGGAAGACTTCTCAGCCTAACTCACCTTCCTGATCAGTCCCGTTCTCTGCAAAATAACCAGACATAGGACCTGCTGCATCCTTCCTGTGGATTGGTCAGCCTCTTTGTGAGGCTGATCAGGGAGGGTGTGTGCACATTCATGTATGTGTCCACATGTGTGTGCCGTCCTTGTGCTGTTTCCACACTGAAATCACGTTCCCCTCGAGGGCAGAACGCCTCATTATTTTGCTTTCTAATCACCTCTTAGGTCTTAGTCCTAACAGAACTCACAGAGATCCAGCTGAGCATACTGAATTACGCACGCAGCCTGAGCGCAGTAGTGACCAAACAGGCCACACCAGAGCCTGTTCCAGGGGCCGCGGCTCCATGCCCTCTGCCTGGGTCTTCACTGTGGCATCGCAGGCTGAGACACCACCCAGCACTTGGCTACCATTTCTCTACAGAGATATGGGAAGAATGATGTAGCTTTTCACGTACTCACAAATCCTCCAGCAAAAACCCATCTCCTGATAGTTTTCTCCATTTGCCACTGGATTTATTAAGATTGGGGAAAAAAGAATGCATTTTTTAGTGAGTTCTTTCTAGGATGTGTTTGGTAATAATTTAATTAGCCCAGCTTTTTGGAAAAATGAAAGTGTTAATTAGTTTTTGCTTAAAATAGACCATCTTGATGACCTCTGCTCCTCCTGCCTCAGTCCCCTGGGTGAAGCCCCATTTTCCCATCCTCACTCTGCAGCAAGTCCCAGCCTGGCCACGCCAATGATTGGAGAAGTATACAGTCACCGATTATGACACAAGCTGATTCTGAGTCCTGTTGGTCCAGGTGACTTGGGGAGGAGGGGCAGGGTCCCATAAAGAGTCACCCGCAGTGATTTCTGCAGGACTTAGGAGTTGTCAGTGGCCTGCTGGTCCACAGTGTCATAACCTGCCCCTTTGGTCCCCAGTACCAGCTCTGGGGGGAAAGGTCTGCTGGAAACCAAGGCTAAGGGCAGGAAGATGTGGTCAGGAGCTTCTCAGACAGAAGGGAAAAGTTCTCTCCAGGTGAGCCCATCCCCCCGCTTCTTGTCCAGCCACTGACCACAGTTGAAGATGGTGGCCACGCCGGTGCTGGTGTTGGTGACCTCCAGTTTCTCCACCAGCCAGCCCGAGTAGTAGCCACTGCTGTCATGCTCCAACCTCACCTTGCGAAGCTCGCCCAGCTCCAAAGTCTCCAGGAAGAAGCGATCTGTGCTGCCCCGCTCAAAGAGGTTGCGCATTTTCTGCTTCAGCTCTCGTTTGCCTGTGTCCCCATTGGCCCCGAAGATAGTCACAAAAACGTTGGCATCAGTGCCCGCCCCCAGTTCATAGCCTGTCGTCACAATGATCTCATACTTAACGGGCACGAGGTTCTGGATCTTGCTGGTGAAGCTCTCTGTCACCTTGGTGACCTCAAATACCTTGAAGTACTTCCTTTTCCTCTTGAGTGGGATGAGGGTGTCACAGTTAAAGAAATACCTGCATTCGAGGGAAAGGAAAGGGAGAGGACTCAGAGAACACCAGCCATAGGCCACAACCCTCCACTAGGTCCCCTGGTCATCCATAGATGATTCCTTCTCCAGGCAACTGGGAATTGGGGCTAGAAATATCTGCATTAAGCTGTGAATCTGGGATTTTATTTATCTCAAACTGCACAATGAAGTGGAACCTCCACCCATGGTGGACAGGCTTCAGTGGAGTTTCCAGATAAAGACAGACTAGGAAGAAGGAAAGCAGATAACTTTTCAATGGTTAGCCACTGAAAACCTTCTGAATAACAGTGAAACACTAGCTGACATGAGCCTCTCAGCTTGGAAGGCACTCAAAATATGACTGATGCAGAGCTGCCTTCTCAAAGTAGAATTGACCTTAATGATGTGGATGGAGCAAAGCTTTTGGAACCTTCATTTGCTGACGGGGCACAACTCAGAATGAAAAGAAACAGCTGCAAACATCCATTAATAATCAGAATATGGAATGTACCAAGTATGAATCTGTGAAAATCAGAAGTCATCAAAAATGAAATAGAATGCATAAAGATTGTTACTCTAGGCATTAATGAACTGAAATGGATGGTATTAACCATTTTGAATCAGACAATCATATGGTTTACAATGCTAGGAGTGACAAATTGAAGAGTTACATTCATCATCAGGAAGAACATTTCAAGATCCATCTTGAAGTACAATATTATCTGTGATATCATATCCATATGCCTATGAGGAAGACCACAAGCTCAGAAACTTTATACAGGGTCGTTAACAGTCAGAACCTATTCAAAGAAACTTAATAACAACACATGAGAGACCAGTTAATACCACCATTATTCAAATTTACTCGCCAACCACTGAAGCCAATGACAATGAAATTGAAAAATTATCTCAACTTCTTCTGACTGAAATTGATCAAACATGCAATCAATATGCATTGATAATTACTGGTGTTTGGAATATGAGTGTTTGAAACAAAGAGGTGGAGGTCAAATGATAGAATTCTGAAAGATCAATGACTTACTCCTTGCAAATACCTTTTTGCAACAACATGAATGGTGACATTGTTGTTGTTAAGTGCCATCGAGTCGATTATATACACAGGAATCAAATTGGCTACATCTATAGGAAGAGACAGAGAAGCTCAGTATCATCAGCGAAGACAAGACCAGGGGCCCACTGTCGAACAGACCACCAATTGCTCATAAATGAGTTCAGGCTGAAGTGAAGAAAATTAAAACAAGTCCATGAGAGCCCACACATGACCTTAAGTATATTCCATCTGAATTTAGAGAAAATCTTAAGAACAGATTTGATGCATTAGACACTTACAACTGAAGATCAGAACATCATCTATGAAGAAAACAAAAGGTCATTAAAAAGACAGGAAAGAAAAGACCAAAATGAATGTCAGAAAAGACTCTTGCTCATAGAGAAGCTAAAGTGACTGGAAGAAATGATGAAGTAAAAGAGTTGAAGAAAAAGTTTCAAAGAGCAGTTCAAGAAGACAAAGTAAAGTAGTATAATGAAAGTTCTAGAGCTAGAAAACCATAAGAGAAGAACATGTTCAGGGTTTCTCAAGCTGAAAGAACTGGAGGAAAATCCTAGCCTCTGGTTACAATATTAAAAGATTCCATAAGCAAAATAAGGAGCTCTGGTAGCATAGTGGTTTGGGCTACTGACCTCAAGGTCGGCAGTTCGAAAATACCAATGGTTCTGCGGGAGAAAGATGAGGTGCTTTGCTCTTGTAAAGATTTACAGCTTCGGAAACCCTGTTCAGGGTCACTATGAGTCGGAACCGACTCCAAGGTACTTAACAACAACAACAACATAGGCAAAATATTGAATGACACAAGAAGCATCAAAGAAGATGGAAGGAATACACAGCCATTGTACCAAAAGACTGGGTCATTGTTCAACCCTTCAAGAAGTAGCACTCCAGGCATGTAAACTTGCTGGTGACCACCTTGGTCTATTGGTGAGTGGAAGAGAGGGAAAGGCAGCAATGAAGAAATGGGCTGAGTTCAACCACGTTCTGTAGACTCCCGTTGACCTGGAGATGGGAGAGAGAAGAGGAAGGGCTGGTTGGTCCAAAGTATGGTGAGACCTTGGCATTCCTGAGCCCATGGACAAGGACATAGCCACGGAGAACTAAAGCTGAGAGTGAAGCATCCAGCAGATATGAAGTGAGGGGAGATGCACAAGAATGTTCAAACTTGCAGATAGTACCCATTTGACCTAGCCTTGATAATCAGAAATCAACTAGAGGAAGATAAACAATTTTTGATAAAGGAAATGAGGGTAAATTGCTACAGTTTAATGAACTTGATCTATACTTACGGATGTAGTAACTCAAAATACCAACAGAAAGGGAAGGAGTCTTCACATCAAGTATCAATTCTATCCCCTCTGTATACTGGGTTGAAAGGGACAGGCAACTTAGACATTGGCTACCTAAAATGAGGGGCGATAAAGGCACAGAAGTGACTGGCTTACATATTTTCAAGAGGGAGCTTAATTTAAGAGTGTGTGGGGAAAGGTAGACTCCCCATTGAATAGTTTCATCTTGTCTAGATGGGCCTGGTGAAAAGAGATGGGGATAAGATTCTTATGATTCAATAGTGAGTAATTGTTACCATGACTAATTACAATCATCTCATCTATAAAGGTAGAAGTTTTGTAACAAAAATGGGGGAGTAGTTAATCTTACATTCCAGGAACAGAGAACCATAGGACCAATAAGGGAGAAGAGCACAAGCGTAGTGCAGGACCCTATCCAGAGGAGCAGCAACACCAGAGATTGAGGCAGAGATGAGGACATGGAATGAGAGAGAGAGCAGCTGAGGACTCTAGACTCATGGAAAGAGGAAGACTGAGTGCTGGTGGCCAGGAGGCAGGAGGACAGAACGTGCCCTTTGGTTGTTTAAATTTTTATATATCCCTGAGTGTTTTTGTGTACATCCCCCATTCCACCCCCCAAAAAAACCTAGAGGGAATGGAAACAAATACTGTTGAATGATGATGCACAGAGGAAATTGTAATCATGCAATGAATCGATGAGTGTAAACCTGATGTTCTCCCATGTAAACTATCACTCAATTCACAATAATAATAATGAAAAAAGTAATCACATAACAAACAAACAAACAAAAATAAGTAGTGTTCCACAAGAAAAAGATGTGACAATCTGCTTCCATAAAAATACTTAAAAAAAAACCACAACCTTGGAAACCCCATGGGGCAATTAACTTTGTCCTATAGGATCACTGAGTTGGAATCTACTTGACTGCAGCAGTATAATATCTTTTCCAATACAACTCTTTTCCCATTGTGTCACTTGAAAATTTGGATTGTTGCTGTTGTTGTTAACTGCCGTTGAGTTGGCTCCTGACTCATGGTGACCCCATGCACAACAGGATTGGACAATATTACCCATAGGGTTTTCATTGGCTGATTTTCAAAAGTAGATTACTAGGCCTTTCATCCAATGAATTGCTTATACACACCATAATTTCCTAGAAGTGGATATACCTGCATACTTTCCTTTTGAATTCTTCACAATTTATTCCCTTATATATATGCCCACTGATTTACATAGCCTTGGTGTGGCGCTGTAAGATAAGCACTGGACAGCTAACCGCAAGGTTGGCAGTTCAAACCCACCAGTCACTCCTTGAAAACCCTATACAGGATTGCTATGAGTCAGAACAGACTTGACAGCACTTAACAATAACAACAACAACAACATGTAACTAACTACACAAACATAATCATATACTTGTTTTTCTTAATGCACTTTTGCTATTTTCCTATTTGCTTGGCTCTGTCTCCCTTTTTCTTTCTCATTCCCATTCTAGCATCCACCCTCACCTCAGATAACCTCAGCTCAGTTAAGAGCTGAGGAAACATGCTACCAAATGCCCAACCATGCACAGACCCACATATGCATGGACAAATGGAGGATACCAGCATCTGTATTACAAAAATGGCATAATATAATACAGGTTTTATGCTTTGTTGTGTGTGTGTGTTTTCATCTTGCTTGTCTCACTCAACAATACTTCCTGAGAATTGCTCCAAGTCATCTGGTACATATTTAATCCATCATTTTTAATGTATAGGAAAATATTCCCTATGTTGCTCTAAAGATCTGTTTTCTAATGGACATAATTATGAAATCACCAAAATGTGGGAGTCAGCGAGTTTGTGGAGTCAAGATTCTAGCTGTGGAAGGACATATTTCTATTTCCAGCAGTAACCACCTGGGGTTAGCAAGTCAGTGCTTATCCCAAAACGCCATATCAGGACTCCATATATGTTGTTGTTGTTAAGTACCGTCAAATTGGTTCTGACTCATAGAGACCCTGTATGGGGTTTCCAAGAAGTGGCTGGTGAGTTTGAATGGACGACCTTGCAGTTCAAGCCTATGTTGTAGTCCAGTGCTTATATTACAGCCACACACACACACACACACACGTATATATACATTAAAGACATGCAGATGATCAAACTTCTGTGAACAATGTATGTGAGATAATAGAAAAATGTCAGAGAGAAAGGTACCACCAACGTGCCCATGGTGGCCACGTTTTATGAGTTAGGGCTTCAGGAAATTTTCACTTTCTTTTATAATTTCATAATTATTAAATTTTTTATGATTATATATTTTATGTGTTATTGGGATGGCAATAAAACTGTTTTTAGGATAAAAAGAAACAAAAGTCTCTCTTGTATCCTTCCACAGAAATTATCAAGCTATTCATAAACACACTGCAAAGTAGGAGTCAGCATTGAAAAGGGGTAAACCGTAAAGACTTGAGATTATTGTGTTTATAAGAAACTGAGATTACATTCATTTGTAATTCATGGAAATTAAAAATTATGGACTGCAAACCACAAGGTCTGTGGTTCAAACTCACCAGCCACTCAGCAGGAGAAGGATAAGGCTTTCAGTCCCCTCAAAGATTTAAACCCTATACAGGGTTGCTATGAGTTAGAACTGACTCGATGGCACTTAACATGGTTGGAAAGAAATTATGGATTCATGTGCAATACTATGGATGTGATTTTTATAATGACAGAATACAAGTTACAGAATTGTTGTTGTTGTTAAGTGCTGTCGAGTCGGTTCCGACCCATAGGGTTTCCAAGGAGCAGTTGGGAGCTTGAACTACCGACCTTGCAGTTCAAACAGCTTTGCAGTCTGGTGCATTAACCCACAGCGCCACACCAGGACTCCAGTTACAGAATGGTGCTATGTAAATTACTATAACAATTAAACACATCTGCAAAGTGCCCTTTCTAGATGAAGGCATCTCATTTTGGGGGTGTGTGGGGGTATTGAAACCCTGTGCAAGCAGGCAGGGGCAGCATGGAATAGGACTTCTGAGACTGGGACTCCCTTCTGTCCTGTCCCATTCTAAGACTCTAGAGAGCACTAGCTCTCCTCCCCCAAAAGGGGAGGCTGCGGCACATAGCAGTGATGGGCTATTGCAGAAGGCCACACAACAGCTCGAGTGTCTAGGGTCTCACTGCAGGAAGAGCTCCACCCTGTACATGCCACTTCCTGTCCTCTAGACCCTGAGGCATGCTGGGAAAAGACACTTCTCTTGGGAAGGGCTGCTTGTTTCCTCTGATTGAGAAATCCTATACCTCAGCTCCAGAGTTAATGGTGGGAAGCTCAGTACTGGTCCTTCGCCTCTGCGCCTCCTGAGGCTGGGTGGACTAGGTGGTACTGAGACCTTTGTTGCATCTCTCTCATCGTCAATGTCCATTTAAAGAGATATCAAGTTGTGGTTATTTAATTTAATATTTTACTTATATATCCTTTAATTTAGCTTGATGTTAATTATATATATATATCCTCTACCCACTGCCATCAAATTGATTCGGACTCACAGTGACCCCATAGAACAGAGTAGAACTGCCCCACAGGGTGTCCAAAACTGTGCATCTTTCTGAGGTAGACCATCACATCTTTCTCAGAAAAGCAGCTGATGGCTTCAAACCGCTGATCTTTTGGTTAGCATCCAAGCATTTTAATCACTATTCCACCAAGACTCATATTCTGGTGTTAGAGAAGAATATTGAAAATACCATGGCCTGTCAGAAGAACAAACCAATCTGCCTTGAAAGAAGTGCAGCCAGAATACACCTTAGAAGTGAAGATGGCGAGATTTAATCTCACTTTGGACATGTGCTCCAAGGGACTAATTCCCAAAGAAGGACATCATGCTTGGCAAAGTACATGGTGGTGGTGTGCCGTGGAGTTGGTTCCGACTCACAACAACTCTGTACAGGGTTTCCGAGGCTGCAAATCTTTAAGGGAGCAGAAAGCCTCATCTTTTTCTGGTGGAACAGCTGGTAGTTTTGAACTGCTGACCTTGAGGTTAGCAGCCCGACTTGTAATTATTACACTACCAGAGCTCCTTCTGGCAAAGTAGAGGGTCAGTGAAAAAGAGGAAGACCTTCAGTGAGATGGATTGATGCAGTGGCTGCAACAAGGGGCTCAAAATGATTATGAGACTGGCTCAGGACCAGGCAGCACTGTGTTCTGATGTCCTATGAGTCAGGCAGCTCCACAGGAGAAAGATGAAGCTTTCTGTTCACACAAAAGATTGAAAGCCTCTGAAACCCCATACAGGAATGCTATGAGTCAGAACCACTCCATGGCACTTAACAACAATAGTATACATATCTGGAATCCTGGTGTGGCACTGTGGGATAAAGGGCTGGATTGCAAGTTTGGTTTGAACTGCAAGGTTGGTTGTTCAAACCCACCAGGCACCAACCTTACAGTTCAAATGGATCTTGAGGTTCAATGCATTATCCTGTAGTGCCACACCAAGACTCTCTCTCTCCATATGTATACAAAATTTATATTTATATATATATAAAACAAACATTGGATTGGTTGGAAGTTCAAACCCACCAGCCGCTCCTTGGAAACCCTATACAGAGTTAATGTGAACTGGAACCTACTTGACGATACTTCATGACACTTAGCAACATATATGTATATGTTGTAAAGCTATCCTTATAGTTTAAACTGACCATGTGGTCCAGTGCATTATCCTGCACCAAGACTCCATATGTAGAAAATTTTATTTGGCTTAAAATGACAGAAATGTCTTGCCTCACAGTTCTGAAGGCCAGAAGTCCAAAATCAGCATGATTGGATAGAAACAAAGTCTGAGCCAGGCTGCGTGCCCTCTCCGGGTTCTAGGGGAGAATTTATTTCTTACCCCTTCTGGCTTCTAAGCACTGCATTCCCCCCCTCACCCCAAGTCTCTGCCTTCCTGGTTGCACTGCCATCTCTCCTTTTGAGTGTGCAAACTCCTATCCTGCTTCCCTCTCTCTCTGTTTTTCTTTTTAACAAATTTTGGTGGAAAGTCCAGTGGGCCTCAAAAAGTGCATGGAAAAATGCAATGAAAACATAATGGAAAATTTCCACAAACTTTTTGAAGACATGTCTGCATACACAGAAATGCACCATTCCAACACAATGTCTATACACACAACTCAACCTTCAAGTTGTACAACCATTCTTGTCCTCCTTCTTCAAGTTGTTGCACCACCATTGACTTAAAACTCATTGCCCCATGAGCTTCTCATGTAACCTTTGAAGCAATTTTCATTCCATATAATGTTATTTTTACATTGTATCTTACAGTGAATTTTCCTTTGATCTGTTGATGAGTTTTGAGGAGAGCAGCATCCCTGGCATTCGTTCGTTGGGAGAAGCGCTGGCCTGGCCCAGGCTTGCTGGGAAGTGGTGTCTCTGGCCACTCTTTCCAAACAGCCAGGTCCAGCACCTCAACAGGGTGCATTGTACCAGGGACTGGTTTTACTCTTATAGAGAACTGATAATGTTGCAGCCTGAGGAGGCAGTTCTGAGGTAGAACCCCTCCTACCAATTCCCAAAGTTGGGGGGAGTCAAGTCTGGGAGCCTGCAGGTTAACAGGTGGCACATGGACTCATAAGGGCCAGAGCCTACAGCTGAGGGACCACACCTGACCCGATGACAGGAGGTTGCTGCTTTGGGGTGACGCATTGCCCAGCTCCATTGCCTCTTGGGGGAAGGTTACAGGTGTGTTTTGTGCGAGGGGTAGAAATGACCTTGGCTAGTCCTTGAGGGACATGGTAGGTGCAGGCTGGCAGGGTTCAGGGGTGGATGCCCCAGGTACAGAGCAGAGCAGGTGGCCTGCCATCCTCTGTGCTCACTCACTCCCGGACCTCGCTGCCCCAAGGCAAGGCTGCCCACACTCCCCTCTCCTCACCTGCTTTGGCTTTTTCTCAGTGTCTTTCCTGCCTTCCAGAATCAAAGAGGGTTTAATTAGACAAATGGATGGTGGTGGCTATGTTGCCGAGGTAACAAAGACCCTTAATCCTCCAGAAAGCCCCTGATAGGGAAATGCAAAGCCCCGGGTCTTGGGAACTTAGAAGCAGGTGGGCTTTGGGGATTACCTTGGCTTGTCTCTAGTCTCTGTTCTGCCCACACTATGGCCTCAGAAACAGCAGGGTTGAACCCATATTTCTTTGTCATTATAGAATGATGGGAGGGCAATTCCTTGTGGTTTGGCCCTGTCCAGCTTTTTCAGAGTCCTCCAAGGAAGCATCTTTGCGTTAAAAGGCTGGCAGCACCAAGGTCATCTGATCTAGTCCCCTGCCTCTGGGAGTCAGCCTATCATTAAGGTAACTCCAGAGCCAGTACACCTGCCTTCTCTCTTACTGTCTTGTAAGTCTCCTAATGGAATCACCTTGGTCTCAAAGAGGACAGCCTCCCTGAACCCTGCCATCTTGTCCATGGTCCAGACTCAGTTCCTCCCGGGCTGAAGGTGGTGCTGGGGGGCATAGTACATACACGTTGCCATTCTCCATCTCGGTGATGGTGATGGTCTTGACATGCCAGACCAGCTCTCTCTTGGGGATGAACCGATCTTCCCTGGTAAGGTGGCCCACACAGAGGGAGGTGATGTCCCCCAGGTAGACGCTGTCAAACTCGAACGTGTCTGTGGTCCCTCTGCAGAAAACGGATGAGGTCCATGAGCTGCCCATGCCTACTGAAGTCAGTGTGCATTTACTGAGTGCCTACTGCAATCTCGAACTTGGGCTCAAGAACAGGGATAGCATGGTCAGCAAGACCTGAGGTCAGTCCTTGAGTATTTTGATCTAATTCTGGAACAAGATCATCACGGTAATTAAAAAGCCTGACCAGTTTCCTGATCCCAGCACCAGTGTATGGTCAGTCCACTGCAGGATGGAATTGGATCCTGGGCATTAAGCTAAGGAGGGCAGCAGAATTCAGAAAACAGAGAGAGGAGCAGAGGGAAGAGTTTCCTGATGTGGAAGTGTTATGGTAAAGGCCTGGAGATAGGAAAGTGTGATGTGGATGTGTGGGGGGCATGGGACAGATGCTGAGTCGGGTGGAGTTTAGGTTCAGGTGAAGAAAATGGTAATGGAGCAGATAGTGGGGTCTAGGCAGTCTGTGGTGAGCCTTAAGTGCCTGTCTAAGGCAGCCAGAGGTTTGTGGACGGCACAACCAGTTTGGGTCGACTGCTAACTTAACGGGTAGACGTTGGGACCCACCCCATAATAAAGGAATAGAGGGTTGACAAGCTGCTTCTATTAAGATTCCAGCCAAGAAAACCCTGTGGAGTTGTCCTAGTGTGTAATGTTTAGGGGTGCCATTATAATTGACTCAGTGTCAACGGGTTTGGGGTTGTTTTTTGTTGCTGGTGTTCTTGTCTTTTTCCTTTAAGTAGTCTAGACATTCACCTTGATGTAGAAGGACTATGGGTCAAAGCGAGGTTAGAGTGGGATGGAGACTTTACATAAGCAATTCTGGAGTGTGCAGGGAGATTAAATGGACAGCAGAGGCAGCGTGGAGGTGAAGGACATGAGATTACCCAGAGAATATCAGGAAGACCAAGGCAGGCAAGTAGAGGTCCTTTATCCAAGACCCAATTTTGATTTTCCTGTAAGCATCTTAGAGGTTCTCGCTTCTCTCTAACCAGGACTTGAATCTATGCTGCTTTGTATTAATTCTTCTACAATTTTATCAGTAAACATGTGACTTCTCAACTACTCTGGGAGCTCCTTGTCTCTCTGTGATGGGCACAAAATTCTTGGTAAGGTCCCTGCTCATGGCAGGCTCACATGGGATGGCAGTTCCTCCCCATAAATCACCTGTCTCACTCCAAGGATCAGCACACAGTAGGAACTCACTAAGTGTTGATTAGAGCCATTTGTGTACCTTAGCCACCCCACCCACCACCACTGTCCAGTAGGCACCCGCTTCCTACTTCCTAAAGGCCCGCTGCCTAGATGAGTTTTCCACAAGAAACTCTTTGGATCGGTTCTTCCTCCCCTCCAAAATCAGCCAGACGTTCTCCCTGGTTTCGCCTCCGTTGCCCGTTTCTATGACGATCTCGTAGGCTGTAATGGAGGAGGTGGTAAAAGATTAGCAGAGAGGAAGTAGCCCCCCACCACCAGGGTGAGAGCTCCAGGTCCCTCTAGGTCTCTCAGACCATAGTCTGAGGCACTAAACTAGAACCTGCCTTCATGTTGGGGCTAATTGAGTAATGATTCCCATTTTATTTATAGTCACAGCCTTTTTGCTGGGCAAACATGGGGCTTCTGCCCACCACCCGCCTCTAGGAAAAGGAAGTTGGGAGGAGCATTTGAGAAATGTTGGGGCCTCTCTCTCATGGACAAAGAGGCCCTGGATGCAAAACAGACTCTTCAAACAGGGAGGAGAGGCAGTGGCCAGTGACCGGCCCTAAACTTGAGGAGAGACTTGAACTCCTCTAACACATGGTCCCCTGCCGGCTTGGTTTCAGTTCTTACCCTTGTGTCACACTTAATGAATGTCACAGCAACTTTCTCCCCACAGCTCAGTCAGGTGTCTCAGGTGAAGTGAGTGCCCAAACTGGGGCTAAAACTCAGGCTCTAGTCCCAGACACAAATCCTAACTATGCCATTTGAAGCAATGCAGTAACCTGGCAACAAAGAGCCTAAGTATCTTGGAGTGAGAGGAATAATCTGGACCCCAGTCACCTCCTAGAACTTTCTCTCCAGCTCACTCCAACCACCCGCCTCTTTGATGTGCCTTAGGGCCTCAGCAAAGACCGTTCTGAAATGCTTTCCTGTCTGCCTCTTCCATATTGGCTTGACTCGCCCCATCATCTTTTTTGAGTCTTTGTTCAAATGTCCCCCTCCCCAGGAAGTCTACCCTAAAGACCTTAATTAAAATGGCAATCTGTTTCCACACACACCCCTGTCACCACACTCCTGGTTTGCCTTACCTGGCTCTATTAGTTTCTTTTGTCTTTCCCACCTACCACCTTCTAACACTACTGATTTATCATCTAGCTTACTGCTCATTGTTTACCTTCCCCTCCCTTTGGAATGTGAGCTCCATGTGCTTTGTTTTGTTCACTGGTATAATAACCAGAAGACACCTCTAGTAGACCCTCACTAGATATTTGCAAGGTCAGTGGGTGTAAGAGTGGGTGGATCTCAGGAAACTTTGAGGAAAGTTAAGTATGGAAGGGTGTGTGTCTTCACAGCTGAGTGCTCAGAAATGCCTCTGGGGCCTCAGACACTAGAAAGTTCTTGCTCCAGGGGCAGGGCTTTCTTTTACTGATGCGTCCCTGAAATCCAGAATGGGGCCTGGCACTTCGGAGGTGCTCAGCGGGTATTTGTTATATGGTTCAACAAAGGCCGTGGAGGTTTGGGGTGTTTGGCTCAGACTACATTTGTGTCTGTGTCTGTGGCTGTCTCCAGGTGAAGTCTTCATTAGGGGACACAGGTGAGGTTACCTGTCCCCTACAGGCAACCCAGAAGGTGCTCTTTTGCCCTCTGCAGATTCCTTGTGATGACGGATCCATCCAGGCTGTCCCTGGGCTCTATGCCCGTCCTCCCCTCTCCGGTACAAGCACATCCTTCCGGGAATAACACAAGGGATACCTCCCCTCTGCAATCTCTCTGCCAACCCAAATCCCACAGGTGTTAGCAACTGCTTGGCAGGAAATCTGTGAAGGAGGCTCAGTGATTCACAAACAAATCTCTCCTCCCCTGAACACCGACGGCCTGTGGCATCTGTTGCTCACCCTTACCATTTGTGTGAGGGTTGAAGCTTCCTATTGAGTTAAAGGGCTTAAGCTTCTCTCTGCAAATAGATTGGAAACCTCTCAGAAATGACTGTATCTTCTTCCATTTGCTGAGCACTGATTAATTAAATACATACAAAGTCCCAGAACCTACAGTGCCTCTCACCTCTGTGCAACTGGCACATTTACTAAGCAGTGTACATACCCCTAACATCCAAAATAAAGCTGGGAACCCAAGGACTCCTAACGAATGCAGTTATAGAAAATTCTCCTCAACAAGGGCAGGAATTCCCCTGCAGTAAACTTCACAGAGTGGTACTTGGTCTTGTATAAATGCTCCATGTACATTAGTGTTCACCACTCAGAAAGCAAATGATTTTATCTAATTTAGATGGTGTGGAAGAGATGGGTGTCTTTCCACGCAGGACCCATGATTCCCTTCCATGGTGTAGAAAGCACCTGTCAGACAGGCACTACATTTCCCAGCTGCCCTTGGCTCTAGTTGGAGTCACATAATTTTTACCAAAGAAATGTGAGTTAATATGTTAGGAAGGGAGTATGCCCTCTTTTCCCTTCTGCAAGAAACTTGGAAGCTACATGTTGAAAATGGCAGAGACACACAATGGAAGGAGCTTGGGTTTCTGAGACACCGAATGAAAGCGCTCCCACCAACACCCACACTGGACTGTTGACTGCATGCATAAGAAACGAACTCACTTTTAAGTCACTGAGATTTGGGATTTACCTCTTACTTCGGCTAGTGTTACCTTAATAACTACGATTAGAAACCCTCTGCCTTTGATAAGCCTCTTTTGAGTTTATTGGACCCAGACACTGGCATCTGTATTCAAAAATACCTCCCTAGCCTTTAGGGTTGGTGTCCTGGTGTGGTGCTGTAGGATAAGCACTGGCCTGCTAATTGAACGGCCAGCAGCTCAAACCCACCAAGCACTCTTCAGAAACCCTATACAGGGTCATTAGAGTCAAAAGCAACTCAACATCATTTAATAACAGCAACGACAGTCTTTATGATTATCCATCTTAGGGATCACTTACTCTTTCCCCTGAGGGAAGTGTTCCCTGAAGAAGGGATCAAAGAAGAAGTGATTGATGTAGACGCTGGCTTGCCCTGCAAATTCTATGTCCAGAAAGAGTTGTATTGACAGCCAGTGTCACATGCACTGATTGGAAAGAGTCCTTCATCCCAAACTGCACAGGCCAGCCAAACTTCCGGAGTAGTTTTTCTTGCTATGTAATTAGTCCTTGTGAGTCAGGGCCATGAGCTGGCCTCAGTACCTTGGCAGTTCCAGGTTCATTAAACAACATCTAAAGTGTTTACTTTTGCACCTCCCCAGTACTATTTCCTTGTTTGAGCATTTCCCTCACCATTCTAACTGTCTCTTCTAGGCTATTCCAACACTTTCTCCCCACTCCCCCTGAGCTGATGCCCATTTAACTCTGAAGACTCAGTTCAGGCACCACGGCTGAACGGGACCTGTAGGTCACCACTTACTGGTCTCCTCCAGCTGGTCCTGGATCTCATTGTTGGCACAGGCGAAGTCACGCACCGTCTGCCTGTCACCCTCACTCCTGGAGAGCCAGCAGTCACACTGGAAGTGGAAGGTCTCATCACGGGAGTTGTCCTTCACATCGACATAGTTCAGGTGCCAGCCAGGAAATAGTCCTGTGGGAAAGATGTTGTGGGGACTGGAAGCTGAACAACCTTCCTCCTCCCCTTTCGGATCTTCACTCCAATCCACTAGCTGTATGACTCTGGACAGGTTCTGTCTTCTCTGGGCCTAGGGGTCCTGGTTGATGAAATGTGGGCATTGGATCAGATGGTTTAGGAAGGCTCCTTGAGATCAGAGGATGTAATTCTCAAGTGTCCCAAGCTTTATTTTAGGAAAAAGAAACTCTGAACCAGTGTGGGGCCCAAATATTTCCAGTCCAGAGGTGGCAGACTAAATGCGAGCCACATTGACTGCCCAGTGCTCCCTGGTGTGGCACTGTAGAATAAGCACTGGACCCCAAGGTTGCTGGGGTCAATGCGCTGGACTGCAATGTCACTTTGAGCTGCAACGTCAGCGGTTCAAGCTCACCAGCCGCTCCTCGGAAACCCTACGTAGGGTCACTACGGGTTGGAACCAACTTGATGGCACTTAACAACAACAAAAAACAACTTAATTCTTTGGTAATGTAAGACTTATGGAGATATTTCTTAATTAAAAGTTTAGAAATTCTCTCAGGGTAATAGTTTCAGGGACTCATTGAGCCTCCATGACTCCAGAAAGCATTTTAAACTCTGTTCTGCATTCCCCCTCTCAATAAGGATTCTTCTGTAGATTTTTTTTACCAAAATGTTGGCTAATGTAGCCAGGCACCCTCCAGGTTTTCTGAACTCATGGCAAAGGGGCAATTATTTATGGAAACCATTAGCCACACATTTCGTTTTCTCCTCCTATTCCTCACTCTCCTTTGTCTGGAGCTCCATGCAAATAGAGACCAAACTTTTAAGACCCTTGCACTATGCAATGAATTCGAAGGTAAAGAAGCACTACACACGACATTAGGCCGATTAACTGGGATGTACAATGAAACCATGACCCTAAAACTCCAAACCAAGGAACCAAATCCACAAGCAACCTCAGCAGCTACACTGTTTGTTGTTGTCAGCTCTGACTCATAGCGACCCTGTATAAGGTTTCCAGGGAACAGCTGGTGAGTTTGAACCACCAACCTTGTGGCTCAAAGTGACCTTGTGGTCCAGTGCTTAGCCTAGAGCACCACACCACAACTGATACATATGTATGTATATATATCACAACTTCGATCAATTCAGCTATTGACAGCAATTACATTAATAAGCAGTACAACTCTACCCTTAATCATTGTGGTTTTTCCATCACCATAAACTGAAAGTCTCATGACTTCTTGATTGTGTCATAGAGATATGAACCCAGACAGTGCTCAATAAACCTAGAACTGATACATTGATTTTACCTTCTAAAATGAACTGTCAAGTTTTTATTCCACTGCAAACCCTTCAAAATTCTACTTAGGTAGAAAGGTAATTAGCTTCACTAAAACAACTTCTTCCACCAAAATAACCTTTGGCAAGCTGAGGATCCATCTGGAAATCCAAATTTCTTGTACAAAATCAACTGATTCTTTGAAGAGACATACGGAAACAACACTGAGCCCAAGCTCTAAAAGTAGACAAGAATCTACCTATTATCTTTCCACAAACAATTTCATGTGTACACCGTTAAAGCTGCTGCCCCAGGTGACATTTTGGGAATTGACAATATGGATGCCTACTTCACCAAATCCACAAAAATGACCGTATTTACAATAGCCTCAGTTTTATCACTTGTCCAACGTGGAGTTTCAAACAGATGATTTCTGAGATTCTTTACCATTCTATGAATCTATATTATTGAAGAGAAAACCTATAATTTGTTTTGTGGTAAACACGTCTTCATCTCACCAGAGTTTTCATTTTAGAGGACGCAAGAAGTAGACAAGATAAATTAGGAAATAAACACACTGTGTTATAATTTATTCAGCATTGTAAAAGCTAGCTGGGAAATTGAAAATTAAGGGGCAGAATTAATCATTTATCTTGCTTTTCCTCTATGAACTATATTCATGATAATCAGATAGCCCAAGGGTCATTTTTTTTTTTTTACAGAGGAATTCTAGTTAATAAGTGTGTAAGAAATGACAGAATTAGAAAATCACCATTTGTAATCCCTAGTTGATCCTCACTGGATGAAGCTATTAGATAAAGAGGTGAGAGGGAACTTTGCAATGGAGTCATCAGGCTGACAGCCCTGGTATTCACTATTTACCATTAGCCTCAAGTGGAGCTTCTGTGATGTAATGGGAAACAGACAGGTTTCGCTGTAAAGCAGTCCTTTTACCACCTACGAAGGGAGTCCTGGTATGACGCTATAGGACATACCAGTGACTCTACAAGAGAGAAATGAGGCTGTCTGCCCCCGACACTCTATATAGAGTGCTATGAGTCTAGATTTACTCAATGGCAGTGAATGTAGGTTTTGGTTATACTAACTTTAAGTCCTGATGTGGCGCTGTGTGCTAATGCGTCAGACTGCAAAGCCTTTTGAACTGCAAGGTCGATGGTTCAAACTCACCAGCTGCTCCTTGGAAACCCTATACAGGGTCGCTATGGGTCGGAACTGACTCGATGGCACTTAACAACAACAACAACCTTTAAGTAGTCTTGCCAAAGAAAGTTGGACCTGAATCTAATGAAGTCTTAGAGTGACTGACTCCCGGGGTATCAGTGTGGATGGTATGCTTGTCAAACTGTTTGTGGAAACCAACCTCCAGTTAACGGGAAATAAAGAAACAGTGACACCAAGAAGATGCAAACTGACAAATCCAGAATATAAAGTCTACTGATCAGCTGGCCCAACTCCTTCAGCACATCAATGACATGACAAACAAAGGGAACAGAAACTATTTTTTATTAAAGGAGACAAATGCAGAATGTAGCCTTTGTTGGCATCCTGATCCAAACCAAACCAAAATATAAAAACTTTATTTACGGTATTGAGGAGATGTGTTTATGGTCTCAAGCTTGGATGATACAAAGAAATAAAATGTCCATTTTAGAAGGAGAAACATACAAAATAAGTTTATGAAGAAATGACATGAGGTTTAGAATTTGACTTTATATGCTCTGTTGTTGTTAAGTGCCGTTGAGCCAGTTCCAACTCATAGCGACCCTAGATAGGGTTTCCAAGGAGTGGCTGGTGAGCTTGAACCACCAACCTTGAGGTTCAAACCAACCTTGCATTCCAGCGCATTACCCATAGTGCCACACCAGGACTCCTTATATGCTCTAGAAACCAGAAATAAATTAAGGATAAAAAAGGGTAAAGTCATTGTGACAAGTCATGATAATTGCTGAATCTGGGTGGTGGGCATGGTTCCTTTCACTTTCGTGCATGTTTAAGATGTTTTAAAATACCTAGTAGGCAAGCAAGCAAACAAACAAAAAACAGGGAAGGTAGATTTGGGGAACAAGAAATTGCAACCTAATTTATATGGTATTTGTTCAGGAATCCCCATCTCTTTTGCTGAAGACACTTA